AGCGTCTCCCCCTCCCTCACCGAAGGGGGGCGAGCCGGTCACAGCAGTGACCCTTAGGCCGCGGCCCGCCTCAGGCCTGGGCCGCTGCGAGGCGTGAGTCTCCCGGCGGACTCGGGGACCTTTGCTGCACGGCCCGGCCGCGGGTTGCGGAGCACGATGAGGGTGTAGTTTTCCAGGCTGTGAGGGCAGGCTGCTGCTCTCCTGGCACGTGTTGCTCATACGTTGTGGTGCATAGCAAGCTCATTAGCTGAGGAGGTTCTGCCTGTTCCTGCAGAAGCTTGGAAGTTGTTGTTCAAGTACCTACTATGCCTGCAAACCTTTAGGCTGACTGCTCCTGTTCCAGAAATGCTAAAATACATTAGCAACGGAAGTTTGTATCCGGTAAGGCAACGTAATGTAACTTCTTATGTAACATAGCTGCCAACACTTGCTTTGCTGGCTGATGCTGACGGCAGACACTGAATTTATTTGGAAGCTTGTCTACTAATAATTAAGCTCAGATAGTATTTCCTTCCTTTTAGACTGCCAGCCTTCTGGACAGGGTCGCATCTGCTATAAAATACTGCAGTTCTGGTACTGCTGCAGAACTGTTATCTGCCTAGCATTTGGGAGTCTTTCCTCTCACTTAATCTCAGCTACTTGCCTACCATTTTGATACAAGTATCTGGAAGAACAAATCTTGATATCTTTTATACTTAAATAGTTCAGTGTCTCAGATTTAATGTTCCTACCTCAGCAGAAACATAACTTTTAGAAAAGGGAGAGGTTTTTCCAAGGGCTGCTCGCTATCAAGTGACCTTGGTGCTGTCAGCATCTTACGACATCCCGTTACTGAACGTTATTTTGATTCAAAGTTTATCTTCATAGATGATAGATAGTTACCATTTTGCCTTCTCAGCTCTGCAGTCTCTTGCGTTGTGTAATTTATATATTATGCAATATGCTAGATTGGCAGAAAGTAATCACCTTTCTTCCCATGGTCACTTGAGTTTGGGATTTCGTCCAAGAAAACATACGTTGTTAGCAGGTAAATATAGCAGGTTAGATTACGGCACTCTGTAAATATAAGGTTAGAATTTTTTTTTTTCCTAAAGAGCAAAATACATATGTTTCTTGCTCATAAACCCAGCCCTTGAAGGTATGTTGAATCCAGGGAAAAAGGGAGGATGAATCTTCTCAGAACACTGAAAATATGCGTGTCTTGCTACTCTAATAAAAAAATGTATTGCAGGAAATAATCACTCGTGATAAATTATGCTTGTAATGTTTAACAGTTTGCATGTAGCTTAAAAAAAAGCTATTTGAGGATGTTTACAAGCACTGGTGGTGAGAGCTGGAAACATATTTTGCTCAAGGGGGTCAGAATTTGTTTTTTCAATCATGGCTCATTTTCATCATGGCTAATAAAGATGATGAATAGCTGGAAAAGGCACCCTGCTCTTTAAAAAAGTCCCATAGTTCTTGTAGTTGGAAGTTACCAACCTTGCTTCCAGGTCCAGCACTCCAAAGCAGGTTCTTAAAGAACCACATAGAGGGTGTGAGGACTAAGACCACAGTAACAAAATAGTTTGTGTGTGCAGACCTACTACATCATAAGGTGTAAGAAAGGGCTTTAGGTCAACATTTCCGTGTTAGTCAGCTTGAGCTGCATGTCCTGGACTGTGCCCTGTTGAAACGGCTGTGCCTTTCTTTTAGAGCTTAGTAACAGCACCACAAATGGTAGAAAACTTACGGAAATCTTAAAACGTGAATTGAAAGTTAAAAGATGCAACTATCGCTGAACACATTTGAACCGTAATGGCAAGGCCATCATTTACATTTTCCTAACCCTTCCATTGCTCCACAGATGTTTCTGAAGCGTACAGCTGCGGTACTCGCTGGTGGCACATGTGTGCCCTGGCAGATGGTTAGAAATACAGTTCAGAATGCAGGGAATTAATGATTAGGTGAGGTGCACTAAGTTCAGATTCCTCTTCAACGTTAGAGGAACTGTCAGTGTGGGTTTGTACAATCCTGAAAGATAATTCATAGTTTTTCCCCTTCTAATGTTTTTTTTTCAAACAGCAAAACAAACAGTGACTGTTACAAAAACTGTGGAGAGTGAACAAAGAGAAGTTATTTTATGAAGTGTCTGATCAAAAAGCCTTTCTGCTGAGAAGAAATCAGACTTCTCGCGTGCCTCAGCAAAGATCGCACTAACGTTGGAGGGTTTGTGGTGAAGACGCCAGTGCAGGGCACAGGCTAGCCAACAGACAGAAGTGGCTTTTAGATTACTGCCAGCCTGCGCTAGACACAGACTTGCAGCAGAAGGTAAATTATGTCTACATCCTTATGACAAATATGCTGAGCTGTCTGTTCCTACTGAGCATAAATATTCCAGAGATAACCCGTGTTGGAATTGAACAGCGGTTAAAAAGAAACACTGAGGTCTCTGAAATTCACTGGCTTATCACCCACTTTTGGCTATTGGGTGAACAGTCTTCCCAGTGCAAGCTCAAGTCCGAATAAAGATCGGCACAGGACAACATTCGTATGGCACTCCCCTCTTGAAATGCCAATTTCCACTTCCTCCTCTGCACATGTGTAAATAGTTTGAAGGAATTGCATTCTTGCCGGTTGTGTCTGCTGTCTATGATAAATAACA